CCAAAATGTTCTTTCAGCAGCTCCTTTGCCCTTTTATATCCTTGCTGCGGTGTCATGTGCAGACAGCTTCTTACTAATGCTCTTGGCTTCCCTCTTGTATATTGCTCCAAAAAATACAAGCAATCTTGGGAATTATTTGTTCTGTGTTCCACACAATGTTCAAATGTCCTAATGAATGAAATGTACTGCAACGGGTCTCCATCAAATGGTGTTATTTCTCTTTGTGGCAAAGTTGTGGTCTTCTGTTGTTGCATCAGCGTAGCAGTAATTTCATTCTGTTTTTTCATGATTTCACAGACGGACTCCTGAAGAACTGTATTTTGAGTAGGTAAGATATAGTGTTGTGGCTCCTCTCTTTCTGTAACGGATGGTGTCACTGTAGAAACATTTATCAGAGTCTTTTTTGGGTTTAGAGCTGTAAATATCTCCTTTTCGATTCTCACCTTTGGTCTCACATCTTGGGCAAACCCCTTTTGTGTTTCTTGCTCTCTTAACTGACCATCCTTTTTTGGAATAAACTCCTTTGCGTTGGGGTTACATTCATTCTTTTGGTTCTTTAGAGCTCTGCTCATATATGAGTTCATGCCATCAGAGCAGGCCTTTCCACTAACATCACTGCCTTCCAACACAGACAGTCTTGCAACAGCAGCAGCAATCTGTGTATCAATCTCCATTTGTTCTTTAAGTTTTCTCAATTTCTCTCTTTCCAATCTGAGGTTTTCTTCTTGAGCCTCCAGCTCATGTTTTGCCTTTAGAGCTGCAGCTTTCTGCAATAAAGCTGCTTTCTCTGCCTTTGCTTTTAAACATGCAGAAGAAATACTGGAGGCAAATGTACCAGAATGGCTTCTCCTTGACTTTTTGCTTGATATGTTCGACACACTGTCTTCAGGATTGATATCATCATGACACTGAACCGTTGCACTTTTATCAGCAGCGTCAACATCATAATTCATATTAGTTTTATCACCTTCCAGTGAAGCACAGGATTCCTTTAACCATACAGCAATTTTATCAATAAAAGCATCACTGGCATCTTTCTTCAAATCAAACCGTTGCTGTTGCTTTTCCTGTTCTTCCGCAGGAAGAGAGATCTTTGTGAACAACAACATATGAGCTTCAGTAGCATCTTCACAACATTTTTTAAACTTCTCCAGATTTTGTTCAACAGCACATACATTTCCTCTTGAGACCAACAGTTCATCAATTTTAGCCTTTATTTTACTTGCTTGTTTGAAACAATAATCTCGTTCCTTCTGAAATCTTTCAGCCATCATTAAAATCGCTTTTGGAGTCGGTTTGATTATTCTTTTTTCTCTTTCCATATTTCCTTGTTCAACTTCAGCCATGACGCGCTGAGCACTTTCAACTCCAGCTTCAACATTACGCACGTCACTCATTTTCAAACATGTGCGCCGCGAACATCAGCGTTAAAAAGGGAAGCTGAGTCACAGCATGACCACTCCAGCTCTATCTGCACAGCTCAAACAACTGATGATCTTGTCATCCTTTCTGGATTCAAAACAACCACAATCGCCGCACCTTCAAGGCGACACCACACCCACTGACGCAATGAACAGCTTCGTAGCATCAAACTTTGCAATCTGTTCCACATCCACGTGAAGACTAGGCTGCGGTATTGTTTCCATCGGTACCTCTTTGATGTCTTCGTTACCGTGCCTTCTCATCGGTTCATGGAGTACAGCAGCATCCTCAAATACACCTGCGCGGTGCCAGAAAGAGCTCCACGCTTTCCAAAAGATCTGCGTCCGGGGCAGTGGATCTTTTATCTCATTCTCTCCAAGAGAGAGCGGGGTTTTTACTTGTGTGCTGACACTTCCTGTTGTCAGCCAGCTGGGTGAGGGCGGAGGCGGCTTCTGACGCGCTTCTATTCATAAATCAAAACCTCTTTTTGTCTGTGCGTTAGTCTTGTTTATTTTCTTTTACAAGCGTTAGCTGGCGTTTTACATGATGCGGTTCCAAGTGCTCCCAGTTGATCGTCACAAAAGGAAGTCTATTGTCATGGTGTCGCGAGCGGTAAAAACCGTCTGCTCATCCCGCCACCCATGCGTAATCATCTCTCCCGAAACACCTGAGGACCCACTTAAATCACATGTGACGCACCCAACACCACCACCACCACAGATGAAAGCCCAACCCACAAAATAAACGGCTCCTACATCTACACTCATACACATTATAAGATACTTATTAATGTTAATATTCACTGCACACTGCGTGTTTTAAACATCTATAAAACATTCTCACAAAATCTTTTTATCTGACCGAAGGAGGATTTCTGATGAATGTTTTTGGTAAATCCCTCAAACACGTCAAATTCTGATTTGCCAAATTTATCAACAATGTAATTTTAATAAAACAGGAATTACTTCCCGATTAATTCAGTTTCCAGCTGACTCCCGATTCGGCCAAATCGAGGAAAACTGTATTTTAGAAACCATCTTCTCTTTGACCTCAAGTCAAAAGGCTCTCTGCCACGCTGCGAGTGATTACAGACATAACAGCTCTTTTAAGAGCTACTCCACACCTCAGACATCTAACCTGCAGGCCCTGGTTGCATCTCGTGGCTGGTGAAGCTGAACTTAAAGGACGCTACTACTTCTTTGAGTCTCGTGGTCTCGACGTCCGGTGACTCACCACTCGGGCCGCCCTTCCTCTAGACCACCGGGAACAACACATACAAAAGGGTATTGTAGCCTGCACACTGGTGTCGGATGCTTTTATAAACAAATCTGTAGTTTAACAAACACACAGCCAAATTCTTTTACAACCCAGAATCCACAAATTCTCTCAGATACTTAAGAAAGGTTTTGCTAAAACATCTAGCTTCCATTGCATCACATCCATAACATTAATCCACTTCATACCTTGTCAAGTATAATCATTAGTTTAGGGAAAAGAAATAAATTCATTTTTATAAACTATATACTTGACTCTGTCTGAATTAATACAAAGTGTATTTATGATCCCTGAATAAGTAAACTAACTACAGGGTGGGCCATTTATATGGATACACCTTAATAAAATGGGAATGGTTGGTGATATTAACGCCCTGTTTGTGGCACATTAGTATATGTGAGGGGGCAACATTTTCAAGATGGGTGGTGACCATGGTGGCCATTTTGAAGTCGGCCATTTTGATCCAACTTTTGTTTTTTCAATAGGAAGAGGGTCATGTGACATCAAACTAATTGGGAATTTCACAAGAAAAACAATGCTGTGCTTGGTTTGAATGTAACTTTATTCTTTCATGAGTTATTTACAAGTTTCTGACCACCTATAAAATGTGTTCAATGTGCTGCCCATTGTGTTGGATTGTCAACGCAACTCTATTCTCCCCCTCTCCACACACTGATAGCAACACCGCAGGAAAAATGGCAGCACAGGCTTCCAGTATCCGTAGTTTCAGGTGCTGCACATCTCGTATCTTCACACCATAGACAACTGCCTTCAGATGACCCCAAAGTCTAAGGGGGTCAGATCGATAAACCTTGGGGCCATTCAACTGGCCCACGATGACCTTTCCAGAAAAGTGTTCATCTAGGAATGCTCGGACCTGACACTCATAATGTGGTGGTGCACCATCTTGCTGGAAAGACTCAGAGAATGTGCCAGCTTCAGTGCATAAAGAGGGGAGACACATCATCATGTAGCAATTTTAAATATCCAGTGGCCTTGAGGTTTCCATTGATGAAGAATGGCCCCACTATCTTTGTACCCCATATACCACACCATACCATCACTTGTTTTGCTCCAACAGTCTTGGAGGGATCTATCCAATGTGGGCTAGTGTCAGACCACTAGCGGTGGTTTTGTTTGTTAACTTCACCATTCACATAAAAGTTTCCTTCATCACTGAACAAAATCTTCTGCGTGAACTGAGGGTCCTGTTCCAATTTTTGTTCTTTGTGCCAATCTAGGTCAACCTCCTAGAGATGCTGCAGTAGATGGAGTTGTAAGGGTGCCATTTGTGAGTAGCTAATATCCGCCGAAGGGATGTTCGACTAATGCCACTCTCCAGTGACACGCGGCGAGTGCTACCCTGTGGGCTCTTGCTGAATTAAGCTAGGACAGCCACTGATGTTTCTTCATTAGTGACAGTTTTCATGCGTTCACATTTTAGCAAATCCAACACTGAACCAATTTCACAAAACTTAGCAAGCAGTTTTCTAACTGAAGCATGGGAGATGGGTGGTCTCCTAGGGTATCTTGCACTGAAATCTGCTGCAATGACCCGATTACTGCATTCACCAGATATCAACCCAATTTTGATCCGCTCCTCATGTGTTAACCTCTTCGACATATCAATGGCTGTGAACAAAAAGAAACTTGTAAATAATTCATGAAAAAATAAAGTTACGTTCAAATCAAGCACACCATTGTTTTTCTTGTAGAATTTCCAATAAGTTTGATGTGTCACATGACCCTCTTTCTATTGTAAAAAAGAAAAGTTGGATCCAAGATAGCCGACTTCAAAATGGCCACCATGGTCACCACCCATCTTGCTGGGTGTAGCAGTGGGTCAGGGTGCAGCTGTGGAAGAGAGAGAAAGAGGAGGAGCCGCACAACCAGCGACAGGTGTGGAGGAGGATGCAGCCAGAGCTCCATTTATAGGAACCGATTCAGGACTGAGGAGAATCATTAAGACTACAAAATAAATAAATAAAAAATCACCGATTACAGAGGCCATAGGCAGTGTTTTAAAAAAGAAAGATTGACATCGACTCAGGGTGTGTTTGTTGTGTTCAGCCCAGTAGCTGGTACTTGATACGCTGGGGATTTAGGGTTATATTCAAAAATTGGTTGAGTTCACATGGTTATTCAAATCCAAGTGTTTTTTTTTCAAGGTAGAGTTAATGGCTGACGGGAATAATTTAAATAGAACAATGACATCTGAATAGTACCAACAGTAATATTTAAGGTGTAAAACATCATTATACAGGCCCTTTAAGATCGATGTGAAACTATAACAAAGTTCTTACAGCCATATCAAAGATGCAGCGGGCATCAGAGATGGTGCGGACATACACCTGGTCATCTTTACAGGAGTTGGAAATGTGAGACCTGTGGAAATAAATATTGTTAAATATTAATATGTTGCACACAGAGAACATAATCTAGTTATGGTGGTCCAAATGCAAAACCCAGTGTCCTCTAAGCTGTTCTACACGTCTTACCTGACACCCACAACCTGCACACCCAGTTCTTTTGCTCTCTCCAGCAGATGTCTGCAGTCCTTGAGGGAACATCCGAATGTCATACCCAACTCGTCGTCAGGGCAGGAGGCCTCTGTTGACACCTGTAGCAGCAGCCTGAGATAAAGTATGAGGGACAAAGCACTGCTGTTGCTGTTTTGATGGGAACAAAAACAATCCGTGTTCAGGGATTACAAAACCAGCAGTAAAACCACTTTTCAACCTGAATTTCAATTCCCCTTCCATCAGAAAAGGTGTGAAAGGTGATGGCCATGGCGCAATAGAGGGAGTTGTCAGGAAACTCATTAGCGGAAATACGCAGCGCTCTGGGACATGTTTAGTGTGTGAGATATAAATGTAACTCCTCCGGTTTAATATGCAAAAAAATGTTGTTCTATCTTATATAGTTTCAGTTCTACACGCATTTGAACACAGATATGCAAATGAGAGCGCCGGCGCTCCCGCCAGTCTTAAAGGGTTAAAGCAGACTCCAGCTGCAGTCCACTGTTTATGAGTCTCCTCCAACTTTTTGAAAGGGCTTTGTTTCACAATCCTATCCAGGGTGTGGTTATTCCCATTGCTTGTACACGTTTTTCTACCACATCTTGTCCTTCTCTTTACCTCTCTCAGGGTTTCCTCTAGGAACTGTGGTGGTGGGCTTTCGGGGGGTGGGCGCGCTTCCCTGCTGCTCTCTCCCTCATCATGCTCACTTATGCATGCTGCTCCTTGCCCTGCCTCTCCACTTCAGCCAGTGTACTTGTCTAACATATTAGCGACATGTGAGATTCATTTCAATCACCAATATGAACGTTGGGAATATTACATGCATCACCAGGGGTTAATTTGAGCCAATTCTTGCTGGAACAAGATCCAGGAACTGTCTTTTTTCGAAAGGACCATTCCGGCAACTCACTTGACCAACTTGTGCTACATGCAGGGTTCGAATTACAGGTGAACTAAAGGGAGCCCAGCTCTCCTGAAAGGATGACATGCTCCCCTGGAAGCCCTCAACTTACACACCCAGGGGGAGCCTGAAAACAATCCTGGTTCTACTTATATTACATTATATATGTGGACTCTCTGGGGATTATTTTGAGCTGAGAGGCGCAGAGCTCTGATTGTTGATGAGCTCCAGCTGCGTCCTAAGCACACGACCACAGTAACATTATCAAAGTGTCGCCACCTCAAAAAACATATAACAAGCGATCGTTTATGTCAGCTCGTATACTTTTATGCTTTCTGTCTTTATATGTGCTTGATGCGTTTTGCTGCTGCGGAACGGAGCACATCACTTGTTTTGTCCTCCGGTGACTTCCCCTCACTGGTGCAGCCGGCGCGCACTCCGCTATTTTTGTGGTCGGTAGATCTTTTTGAACTGCAGTTCAAAGGTAATTCATGAGGGGAAAATATATGAAGCCAGGTAGCAGTTTTTCTTAAGGATTGAGAGGAGATGCAGGAAGATAACAGTGACAGGACAGAAAAATAGTGTTTGAAAAGGAAAAATTTGAGATTTATCCCACTACACGTTTTTAACTTTCTAAGGCAATAATTTATAAGCATGTAAAATTTATATATTTGATACAATTGAGATCTCCTTCAAATCTCAATCCCTCACAGGACCATAAGGCATATTTCGCCTCTCAGAGGCTGCAGGCGCACCAGTGAGTTTGCGGCCCCTGCGCAGGGAGAGGGCTGAAGCAGGGGAACAGTAAAGATGCAAAAACTACCTTTGTTAAAAGAATTGTGTGTTAACTTAGAAAATGTGGGCGCAATTTTTAATTACTTGTCAAAAACTCCAGCGACGTGGAACGTGGCACGGTAAGACTACCCGTTACCCATTGCTATCTTGAGCTGTCATCGTGTTTGCTACGGCTTCACTAAAACCGAAAATGTATTTCTCGCAAAGGCATGATGACATGCCCACAGCTCTCCACTGCTTCTCTGTCACTCAACAGAGAGAGGAAGAAAAATCACCTGTCACTTGTTACAGACGCTCCCCTTTCCGGCCACCAGATGGCCTCAGTAGCACCGTCTTCACCCGGCTCCTTCCTCCAGTTGCCCAGCTGTGGGTGATTCTAATCACGCCACAGCTGGTAAAAGGAAGTTACACGGGCTGAGATCGGGAAGAAGGCTACAGGGAAGTGTTGGCATGGAAGTGTTTTCACTCCTCACTTCTCGCGTGCTCAATTAATTGATTAGCTTGTTTGTAAACTCGATCTTTGACAATGCTTGTGGATTTGTAAGTCTCTGCTAACAGGACTGCTCCATTTGGGCTTTTGGATTTTTTGTGAACTATTTTTCATTGGTGTTGCCAGCCCCTTCTGGGCTGGCTTCTTCAGTTTAACCCTTTTGTAAATACGCGGAGTCAAACCGGAGTTCTTTATTAAAATCCTTGTTTATAGCGACACACAACTTTTTTATTACTTTCAACCACACGCTATTTCATTACTCCCTCTACATCACTCTTAGCGAGCTGGAGGACGTAATACACTCGATATACTGCAATACAGCAACACTTTTGACGTGAGGGAACCCAAATTAAGCACTTACTTGGCACTAGGATGGCAGCGGGAAATCTTGCGTAGCTCTGCTTCGTTATCACACACCAAGAGGTCAATGCCTTTTTTTGCAGCATATTTTATTTGGGAAACCTGTTTACAAACACCACTGTAGATGATATCTTCAGAGGGAATCCCATGGCTCTGCACCAGCTCAAGCTCAAACTGAAATACAGAAATAACATTTTCAGTTCAAGTCATATCGTCTGAAAAAGCAGAGAAACATTCCATCCTTCATCTACAAACTGACCCGCCCTCTCTGTTCAACAGCATGTGAGCCAAAACCTTTTAGCGTCAAACATAATTAATGTTCTACTGATGAGACAGAAAAAACCACAATACTTATAAAACATGCAAATTTGTGCTCTGCTTCATATAGAGCCTTTCCACTAACTAAATGGCCATGGTGCTCACACTAGTGAGAGAATACCTTGTTGGTGCAAGTGAAGCCAGAGCCAAGGGCGGCAAGAACTTCAATCACAGGCGGACTGCTGTTGCATCTGACAGAATAGTAGGGTCGAACTTGGGCCATGAACGTTTGCCAGTGAACATGCTGCCTCATTAAGACTCCCAGGTCAGCAACAAAGAATGCATTCTTCTCAGCCTGGGGTTCCATAGAAAGAAATATAAAACAAAAACAAAGACTTCACTAACACCACTTATAAACATAACAGTGATTCTCCATGTCAGTAGGGATGGGCGACATGGAAATAAAAATTAATCACAATATTTATTTATTGCAAACTCAAGATCACAATTTTTTTCCATTTCAACAATTCAAACATTTTGGAAGTTCTCTACCAGTAAAATACATTATTTTAAAAGCATGCCCCTTCACAGAAAACAGAATAAAAAATTTTTAGAATCCTAAAATAAAAATCCTAAACTTTTAACTATCTACCTATCTTTTATAGTTAGAAGCTAGAGATGTGTCTAAAATGACCCACAGACACTTGACAGCATTTCACGCTGTATAACATACAAAAAAATCAATCGTTAACTTTATTTTTTTTCTAAGTGTTTTTGTCCCCAGAAGAGGCTACAATGATGTTCTGCTGAGCTGTGTTAGCCTCATGGAGGGGGCCATCGGCTAGCACACTGCTGCTAACCACTTAAACATTCTCCCTCTCCTGATAATAACATTTTACTTTCTTTGACATAGAATGTGCTACTACTAGTTTACTCGTTTAATTATAGATTCACAAAGATAAATACAATAAAATGTATCTCTCACCAAACAGAATATTTACCAAGAAATCACGATGTAACCATAGAAACACTACTTGGTGGGTGTGTGTGTGTGTGTTTGTGTGTCTGCTCGGTCTTCTCCATCCCCAGTGAGTCATGGTGGATGGCTGTTTATACTGAGCCAGGATCCTCTGGAGGTTTCTTCCTGTTAAAAGGGAGTTTTCCTCTCCACTCTCGCTGCATGCTTGCTTAGTATGAGGATTGCTGTAAAGACTCTGACACTAGTCAGTGACTCGATGCAACCTGCTGGGTTCCTTATATAGGAAACAATTTACTCATTGGCTTAATGAACTTAAAGAGCAAATTGCTGATAATTTTTTTTTTCTAATTCATTGTATTGTATTGCGCTTTACAGACGTTACTGGAGAAACTGGCAAGTACCAATCAGAGACTGTATGAGTTGGAGGCTATTGTCAGACAGATCCATGAGAAAGTTTCACCCCTGGAACCTTAGGACCCGAGTCCTGTGACTCCACCCAGAACAGCGGCGGCAACATCAATGACGTCACAACTCTTCTGCGTTGTGAATTCGCCTGTCAGAAACTTTTGAGGGACGTCTGAGGGACAACCAATCGGCCGGGCCCGACTCTCTCCCGAGGAAAGACAAGGCCGCATGAGGTCAGGTCTGTGTATTTACTGTGGTCAGCCAGGTCACCATGTTGCTAAGTCCCTATGTTGCTACAATGCAACCTCGCTTTTGAGCGTTCACCAGACTCTTTTTCCTCTGATTCAGCAAAGATATCCTTCATCGTCGGACTCCTTAGGGGAAAGGCTTTAAGATGGACAGAGTCCTGGAGCCGCGACCCAACATTTTTAAAAGGTACCCTCTCTTCTTTTCCAGTGGAATTTAAGTTAACTTTTGGTTGAGCTGCGACTATTTTAATAGTCGACTAGTCACCGACTATTGAAACGATTAGTCGACTAATCTGATAATTATTAAATTTTTCTTAAATTTAGCATGAGATTGCTTTAATTATATGAAAAATCATAATAAACACAAAAAAGATGGGTACTTCAATGGAAAATGCATATTTTATTGAACTTTGCTGCTGATAGGCCAATTCATACCAAAAGTAAACAAAAATGCCCTGTCTAACACCAATTGGGCACAGTGCTCAGTCAGTATAGACATAAATGCATAAATAAAGAAACCTCTATACATTCTTTAAAGGAAAGGCACATGTGTTTTAGAAGAAAAAAATAATTTAAAATCAAGTAAACATTTTCTTCCTGTAAACCAGGGGCAGGCACATTAGCAGCAATAAAACAGTAAACAAAAATATTAAGTGCATTTTGTGAGATACATTCAGTAGTCAGTCTGTTGCAAAATAACTTTATAACTCTCAACATTATGAAATCAAACGGTTTTAAAATAAGTTTTCAACGTTGTCTGAATTTAATTTGTAAACAATGGACTGTGCGATACTACCTGGACACAAACCTGCCATGGTGGACTGGACACTGGACAGTTCAAGTGTAAAATCAACATGAAGCTCAGGCTATGTTGTTCAGTTTATTCATATTAAGGAAAGTCAGCATGTCCACATGGTCTCGTGTGAGGCTTGCCTCTTCTGGGAGCAGATATTTCCTGCTGCTGCGAAGATTCGCTCTGCAGGGGTGGATGTTGCAGGAATGCACAGAAGAGATCTTGCTAGGTTTGACAGTGTGGGAAAACGCCCCTCATTTTCTCTAGACCAGCTGAGAGGGCCTTCTTATGTCCCGATTGGTGGCTCTGTGAAGAACATCTGAACTTCCCTCCTCACCATTTGGATTTTTTCATCCTCCTGAGTTTCCTCCTCTTCTTCACTCAGACTGTCAGTGTCAGACTGAAGCAGATTATCCAGCTCTGACTTTCCCACTAGCATAGGCGTCATTTTAACCGGGGACGCCGGGGACATGTCCCCGGCAAAATTTGTGATTGGCAGCTGTGTCCCCCCCACTTTCAAAAAAGCCTGCTGATGAGGATTTTTGTTTTACCAGCTCAGATCTTATCCAGGGGTCGGCAACCTATTCCCATCAAAGAGCCATTATTACCCGTTTCCCACAGTAATTCTGGACGGACCTTAATAAGCAGTGACTTAAGTGAAGCAGGCAGGTCGCGCTAGAAAATTTAGTTTAAAAAGACGTCATAAATGTTTTCCCCCGTCATTTTTATTTATAAAATATGAAGTAAAAACTCACAATTTAATTTTCATTCATTTGTCATTAATATGTAGTCTACACCCGTGCGTTAACCATCTTCCAGTAAACGCACAGCATCCAGCCCACCTCTCCAAATGCGTAAAATGTGCATCAGCCGCTAGTTAGGCGCACCATCAGCTGATCAGCCCAGACAAGAGCAGAGCAAATAGAGACAGAATAGAGGATGATTCTGTCTGGATGTGGATGGAGATTACATTTTATAGCAGCCTGATCATCATTTAAATACGTAAACCATCACCTGTCTTCTAGTCCATGCTATCAGCATATATTTTAATTGGTGTGTGTGTGTGTGTGTGTGTGTGTGTGTGTTTTCCACTTCAAACACTGGTCTAACCAACCAGACCAGCGTGTCCAGTAACGTATTAATGTTACAATTAAACAGTTTCCCTTCATGTAGGCTAGGAACATTTCACCTGCCGTGGCCCGACCGCTTCTGCTCCACACGAACTTTGTGCGTGATCAAATGTCTCTACGCATCATGCGTCTCCATATTAGAGACGGGAACAAGCGCTGTTCAGCCAGTTTCATAATTTCATAAAAAGAACATTTTTCCAAGTGACACATCCCTCAGAGAGACCGGGTTTCCAGACCGCTTCAGTGGGAGGAAATCATTGCATGCACCATGGTTCTGCGCTGCGCTGCGAACCCCTCAGATCTTCAGCTCACTGTCCACCGTGGGCGCTCCGAGCCGCGCTGAACACAGTGTCCAGTATAAAGCTCTGATGTTCTGATGGGAATCTTTTACCTCCGCGATGTGCGTTAACGATTAAAATGTCAGCTCATCCATGTGCATCAGTGTGCGTGGGGGTAATTCTTTCAAACCAAGCAACATCCTTGAGTTCATCTGTCAAAATAAACAGTCAAATGGAAATATATGTAACCTGCCGTTTAACTGTTTTGCCTTCTTGTGAAGATTGTTGCAAAGAGAAACAATTAAACTTGATTAACCCCAGAGCCACCCAGAGCGCATGTGGGAAGGTTCCTCCCACTGAAGCGAGTGTTTTCCAAACCCGGTCTCTCAGAGAGACTTGTCACTTAGAAAATGTTCCCTGATGATGAAACTTTGGCTGAATAGCGCTTGTTCCCGTCTCCAATGTGGCGACACATCCAGGAGCCGTCTGAGGAGAATCCCAGAATCTCACATCCTCTTCAGCTCAGAAAGCGCCTATGATTACGCACAAGCGTGACGCGTCAACCCGGTCTCACAGTAAGACCAGGTTGGACCTGTTCAGGTTTACGCAGACAATCTTTACATTTAGAATTGGCATACAGATGTAAAATTAATGCAGTAAAATATAAAGCATTTTATTTAAATATCCATTCATTATTTTACAAACACAGAGCCGCATCAGATGGATGGAAGAGCCGCATGCGGCTCCAGAGCCGCCGACCCCTGTGCTAGCCTACTTTATTGTCCCCAGCAATTTTTAAACCCCACTCAAGTGTATGGTTATTGTCCCCAGCAATTCTGGAAACAAACTGACGCCCTTGCCCACTAGGATATTACCCTTCTTCTGCTGTAGCTCCTCGGGGTCATCATGTAGCTCAGTCTTGGCCTTTGCATCTTTGATAGCACAAATTTCAACTGTACTTTGCACCCTTGTGCCATCTTCAAGTGAGATAAACTTCAGCTTTCTGAATCTTGGGTCGATGGCAGCTGCAAGAACAAGTGGGTTGTCTCTCTCTGCAGACACTGTGTTACGATTCTCCCATCTCTCACTTATTCATTTTCCTGTAATGGCTTGAAAGGCTTTACCTGAGCTTGTCTCAAACTGGGTTTGTGGTTTTGCAGAAATGGGTCCATGGTGGCTCTCTTCTTCAGACTGCATGCATTTAATTTAAAATACTTTTGTCAGGCACAGTCGGGCATAACATTAAATCTCTCTTTTTTAAAAGCGAAAACACATTCAAAAAAATATACAATGTACATCCAAAAGAAAATGTATTGGCTTTCGTGTTATTTAAATCTTACCGAGGTGAGTCAGGCTCCGTTTCATTTAACTGTCCAACGGGCTTTCTTTTTAGCTGTTCATGCATCGCCAAGGTGCTGCCATGATACGCAAGGACAGCTTTGCAAATAATGCAAGTAATCTTTTAATTTGCCGAATCCAGGCTAGAATGCTCCCAAACTTTTGATGTTTTTGTACGCGTAGCCGCTGTATTGGACACCGCCATTTCTGTTAGTTGGCACTCAGCAGAGAAACTATTGCGCATGTGCGACTCTCGGCAGAGATTGTAATGAAGTGAGATGCCTCACTCGGTCGGAAAAAACACGTCTGGCGACAACGTCTACAATGAATTCCATTGTTGACTATTTGTCGACGAATGGCTGCAGCCCTAGTGCCCAACGACGTGTCCAGAAACCATGGAACAGACGGGTGATAGAATGCAAATAGACGGTTCTAAGATTGTCATCACATTATAATCCTTAACGAGTGTATATTGTTAGATCACACAGCCCTACATGTCATCTTCCAATATGCAGAAATACAGTTTAGGCATTGTAACTGTCCTTACCAGAGTTTGCTCAGTGATGTGATTGCCAATCACATCACAAATAGCTGTGTCCCCATCCAGCAGGCCAACAGAATACTGTGGTTCATCAGAGATTCCTTTCATCCTCTCAACCGTTATCTTCAGCTCTGTCAGGCATGAGAATGAAACCAGTCCAAAGCTATCCTGCTTGCTTCCTCTTGAGCGCCTAGAGACCTAGATCAATGCAACAAAACTTTACATGAAAAGCAACACAAGATCGGCCTTTAAACAGCATCCAATCAGAGCAGAAAGCAGATTCCATATAATTGGGATGCTGGTACATCAGGATTATTCTTCTAAAAAGCCACTACGAAAACAAAGATTCTGGGTCACATGGGTCATTTACGTTTACCGATAGTTACTCCTAAAGTTCATCATTAATCCCCTCACTTGTGACCCGTTAATGTTTGTTTTGGTGGTATGGACTAAGGTACAATTCTGGCAGAGTATGTGTCACAACTTTTGATCAGGTCAGATTGATGTGGTCAGGACTGTAATTCTGTATCAAACGTTAAGACAGAGGAACCACATTTCTATGTGCTACAGCAGGGATTCCCAAAGTGTGGTGCGCGCGAGCTGCCGCCAGGGGGTGCGCGAGGTGAAAAGTGTAATGGCTGCGGAGCTCAGAGAAGTCTGTCATATGTCACCATTAGCATAGCCAGAAACTCATTTGTGGGTGGGCCTAAGAAAAAGTAAGTGGGCCCAATAAATGCAATTGAAAACAAGTATATTTTGCTTATGTGCATGTGTGTGTCCTCCGCATGTGCCCTAGCTTCATAATAATGCGCCGAGCTTCAGCACTCTGGCCTGCGCACGCCGATATGTTTCGTATTTGATCATTTTTAATGATGTTGGAGGAATCTGAAGGTGGCGAGTCATTCTGGCAGATTGTAATTAACACCCTGTCTCGTGCAGGTGTTCTGACATTGTAAACCTCACACACAGAACATTGTGGATGTAACTAAATAAATCAAGAAATGATTCCCATTCAGGCTATTAACAGCGCGCTGAAGATCTGAAGTTTAGAGTGCGTCTGTCAGAGTTCAGACGCGTTCCAGCGGAACCACGCTTCACGGGTGCACAAGTGAGCACATCAGTGCTGGGCAGAAGTAATTTTACAACATTGGTTTAAATAGCGCCAATAACGAGAGCGGCTCACGGAGCTGTGCCGTGCGCGCGCGCACACACACACACACACACACAGATTCAATAAGCGCGCATGCTGCGCAAACTCCGGCGCGCCGTCAGACTGAAGGCAGAAATGAGCGCTGCCTCCTCTGTGATAAAAACTTTTAAGAGGTTTTATTATGGGATTAGATTTGTGCCAATAGGATCAAGAAAAACACTTTGGAGAGCAAACAAATTTTAAGACATTGAGAGAAAAAACATTGGTTTCAAAAGAAAAACTTACGATCTGAATCAGATTCTTAAAATGATCAAGAAAATCACTTTGACGGTCAAACAAAAATTAAGAAATTGACAGAACAAAAATATTGACTAAAGGAAAAAAACATGTTTCAAAAATAAAACTTACTATCTGAATCAACTTCTTAAAATGAGTAACAAAGTATGTTTCCTTTTTCTGTTTGCCTCTATGTGTTTTTGTTATCAATTTCCTTAGTTTTGTTCTTGCTGCTCAGAGCTTTGCTCTCACTACCAGATTTGCACTTACACTGTCTGGCTTTCTCCTTTGCAATCCCTGAGTTTTTGGTTGCAATTCTGACACAACCCTTTTGGGTGGGCGGGACTTCTGAGAAGTCCTCTCCCATAGGACAGTGGTTTCTCTTGAGTGACAGTTCAGTGACCTGGAAGTGATGTAGCCTCCAAGACATTTTTTTCCCACCTGGTCAACAACATGAATTTTAAGCTCCAAACAGGTTATTTCTGCTGTCTGTGGTGAACTGAGGATCTAAAGTGAGTATTGATAATATATTTTATCTTTTCTTAGTTCATCTGTAAGTTAAGCCACTTTTTAAGTTGGTTTTAACCAGACGCTAGCTCACTAGCTAGCTGCTAAGCAAGCCATTGTGCTAGCCTCAGGACAATGGTCTATTGTTCCAGAGAGACGTATTAAAAACTCATCTTAACATATTCATTACTGGTTTCATGGAATTAATGATTGCAGTTTATGTTAATAAGTTTGCTAATTATTCAGGAACCTGTGGAACATCAGAGACTTTGCAGCTACTGGTGCTAACCTGTGTACAGCTAACTCGCTACAGAGGAAGCAGCAGAAAGCTGAGCTAACAGGCTGTTTTGCAGGTAAATACTCTTTTAGTGGAACTGCAGGACTTTTATGGTATAACTCAGACAGAATCTACACGAGCTATTGTGGGAAGACATTTAAACTACATTTACATACAGATACATGTATTTTTTATTCCATGTTACTTGGACGGGCTAAACAAGTTCATAGTTCTGCCTGCTCCTTTTTCAGTGAAACGAATGGATTTTATGATGTAACTCTGACTGAATAATTATCTAAGTGAGTGTGTTTGATAATAAATTTCTTTCCAGTATACAGATCTCACATTTGTTTGTCAGAACAAGACAAATCAGATTCAATGTGCTTTCTGTCACGTGCTCTGTATTCTCCATCAAAAGAATGTTATCCAGGACAGATAATCAATAATGAGTTAAATACATGCTTTTAATTAATTTTTACATAAAATCTATATTTTTGTCTAAAAGCTGTTTTTTATTTATTTATTCTTTCTTTTTAGATTGAAAACTACTGCATTGCATTACAATGGAAGTGCTACACAGCCACATGCATCAACTGCAGCTGGTGAGCTAAAGCCGGGCGTACACTGTGCGACTTTTTCACTCGCAGCGTTCAGCTTCAGCTCAAACTGTACGACTTCCTCGCAGGGCAGGTCTCACGAGTCGTGTGCTCACACTGTACGACCCAGTTCTCGCATGCGACCTGACTGCTCACACTGTACGTCTGGTAGCAACACGTCGGCCCTAAAAATGTGCTAAAAATAGCAGTTTTTACTCAACACGTCAGACTTTTTTGTCTTGCCTGTTGTCCTTCGGGAGTGCTGCAGGAGGACACACGGGGATTTATGGGGGTTGGATGAGGAAAATGAAATAAAGTAAATCTGTGTTTTGTGATCAGTTTAATTTGACACGAACACGACAAACACGCTTTCTTGACAATCTTTGTGAGTAAAAAAAACGTGTAGAAACAAAAACGAACAGCGTGTGTAATTAGGGAAATAGCGAGCGACCGGCCGGCGTTGATGCAGGATTGCGCGCGCATGCGCCGTGAGCGGTTCTGATACTTTTTGGATCGTAGCTGCTCGCAGCTGCTCGCAGCGCCGCTTCAACAGTGCGATACCCTCACGAGGGACGAGCGAAATATTAAACACACCAGAAGTCCCTGCGACCTCACGACTGCTGATCGGCGGCTGGTCACGTGGTGTTAATCGCCTCTCGTAACCCCCTGTACACTACACGACCGCTCGGCGCAAAACTCGCCCCGATGTCGTGGCTTCTCGCACGACTGGAAAATCGGCTCAAAAAAGTGAAAAAGTCGCACAGTGTACGCCCGGCTTAAGACACACCATAGTGTACACAAAGTACACTGCAGACAAGGGATGTAAGAAAATATCAATATGAAAATATATCGCGATATATTTTCCCAGTAATATTGTATCGATATTCTCGAACTCTGTCTCTAAAATATCGATATGGCAATATATCGTGATATTTTTTCCTGAGATATTACATCCATTTTCAAAAGCAGTGTATCTAATTTTTGGAAGAATTTACATGCAAACATTTGTGTATTTTCTTTGTTTTTGGTGCACTTTAAATGTCGCCCGCTAGTTGGCAGCAGTGTGCATTGGGTTTTGTTTCCACCACTGAAATTTAAATCTCGCTATTATGGTTCAGATAACTCATGTTATATATGTTAAGTATCAGTTTGGACTGTTTATTGAATATTCCTACAATAAATTCAGTCAAAAATACACATCCCTACTGCAGACCAATCCCACCTCATGTAGTTCATATGCTGTATAATAAACCCACAGTGTTGGTTATGGATAAATATCTGTACTAATGGTAATCTTTTTCCATTGTTTCCAGCTGACAAGCATATGGACCTATTGTTCGAGTCCGTGGTGGTGGATGCTCTATCATATCAGGAGTCTGTGGTGGTGGATGCTCTATCATATCAGGAGTCTGTGGTGGTGGATGCTCTATCATATCAGGAGTCTGTGGTGGTGGATGCTGTATCATATCAGGAGTCGGTGGTGGTGGATGCTCTATCATATCAGGAGTCTGACTAAGTACCTGTGCCTGAACCTCTCTGTGTCTAGTTCAAAAGACCTGAAATATCTGCTGTAAGCAGGCACAGGTTAAGATTTTAAAAGAACCTGTAAGGTGAGCAACACAACACAATATAAATCTTTATTATTATTGTACACTGTACAGTTAGAATAAACTTGCATTCTCAGAAGCCACGTATGATTACATCACCTACAGGTTGCCTGATGCTGAACTTCGGGCAGCTGCGTGCTCCGTGGAACAACCGCCTGTGGGAGGAGTCGTTGTGTTGCTATTAGGAGTTTGGGTTGGAGTCCTGGGTTTGTGTTCCCTTTAATCTCTTCCTTAGCCTTGCTAGTCACCATTGCAGAGCACCATGGAGAGGCTTACCTGAAAACTCTTCTCATGGGGCAGGCACATCCTCACACACCTGTAACCCCATCCTTGAATAAAAGCTGGTAGCTGGTCACTCATCAGAGTGTTTAACCCATATCTAGCCCATGACTCTGCCGTTTTTCAAACTTACATTCTCATGTTCTATGCAGATCTATGGGAATTCTTTCCTTGAAGCTCCTGATCACACAACCATACTGGCAGTCGGCTTATCCACTACCTTCTGCTCACCCGCTTGCAACTAATGCTGTCATTCTCCCAGACTTCTGGTTGTTTCTCCACCATTCTGCTGTCTCCCGTCTGCGCTACAACTTCAGACCGTAAGTACCTAAACTTTTCCTTTTGTAAGTCATTCTTTAGTCATTACTAACACTCAATTTTACCTCAGGGCCTTCTGATCTTTAAACACTAAAACCTGTGGCTCCATCTCTGTGGCGTTTCTCAGTCTCTGTAAGCTACCTGCACAGTCTAAGAAAAACCTGACCTGTTGCCTCTTACTAACCTCTGCTCTTCCTCGCAGAAGCTTCTGGTTCCTGATCTCCAGCTGTTACCTCTTCAGTCATTCATCAAACATTGTAATAAACTGTTTTTAGCTCATTTGTCTCCTGAGTTTCTCTGCATGAAGGTCAGGTTGTTGCAAAAAATCATGACATCAGCAATTACTTTGCACCACTCTGTTAAACAGCTGATATTAATTTCAAGTGTATCTTTAAAAATACATTGAATGTCAAAGTGAATGAAAGGCATCCATTTAGCTTTCGGTGTCTAATGCAGGATTTTATGGACAGGCACCAAAACAGGAAATTTATAAATTGAGATTTATTTACTAAATCAGGTAAACCATAATAAAATACTAATGTTTAAAGTCCGGAGGAGGGAGGAAGGCTTTATAGCAGGGGTATTCAATTCTAGTCCTGGATGGCTGGTATCCAGCACGTTTTAGTTGTTTCCCTGCTCCAACACACTTGAATCAGTGGTTGAATTACTTGTGCAGCAGCTCTGCAGAAGCCCGTTAATTATCTGCTGACTGAAATCAGGTGTGTTGAAACAGAGTTCAAACTAAAACGTGCTGGATACCGGCCCTCCAGGCCCAGACGTAAATACCCCTGCTTTATAGGCACAGAGAACTCCCATCGGGATCCTGGAGACGGCACAAGGAGATGACGACATGAGTGTGCCCTCCCAGATCACACCAACACCACCTGACCACATGGAGGCATGTGTCTGTAAGAAAGAAAAACTGGTGATGTAAGAGATTAAACAAAAACTACGAACAAAATCAATTTTACAGTTGTTTAACCTGCTGAGCATTACCTCCCCAAAGAGCAGCACAAAGGTGCAACTGGCTCAGAACCAGGGTGCTCCGTAATGCAGGTGGTCACCTCCTCCTGCTGACGCCCGAGGATTACCTACAACAAAGGGAAAACTGATATCAATAAGGAAATAATTAAATCAGAGCTAAAAGTTTAATTTTAGTGTGACGTTTGAGATTGTGGGAAATAAATGTGGACATTATGATTTTCTATTGTGGGGTCAGTACCTTGGGCGTTTCTCCGTAGCAACATTTTGTCTGGCTGACAGTGAAGTAGAAAAGTCACCAGTTGAGGCAGAGTTAGACTATATTACTCCAGCTAAGCTAAATGTAGCTAAACTAGACACTAGTCACCAGACTATGGCTACTATAGATTTACTAGAGAGTTACATCATATAATCCATTCGTTTCACTGAAAAAGGAGCAGGCAGAACTATGAACTTGTTTAGTCCGTCCAAGTAACATGGAATAAAAAATACATGTATCTGTATGTAAATGTAGTTTAACAGTCTTCCCACAATAGCTCATGTAGATTCTGAGTTATACCATAAAAGTCCTGCAGTTCCACTAAAAGAGTATTTACCTGCAAAACAGCCTGTTAGCTCAGCTTTCTGCTGCTTCCTCTGTAGCGAGTTAGCTGTACACAGGTTAGCTCCAGTAGCTGCAAAGTCTCTGATGTTCCACAGGTTCCTGAAAAATTAGCAAACTTATTAACATAAACTGCAATAATTTATTCCATGAAACCAGTAATGAATATGTTAAGATGAGTTTTTAATATGTCTCTCTGGAACAATAGACCATTGTCCTGAGGCTAGCACAATGGCTTGCTTAGCAGCTAGCTAGTGAGCTAGCGTCTGGTTAAAACCAACTTAAAAAGTGGCTTAACTTACAGATGAACTAAGAAAAGATAAAATATATTATCAATACTCACTTTAGATCCTCAGTTCACCACAGACAGCAGAAATAACCTGTTTGGAGCTTAAAATTCATGTTGTTGACCAGGTGGGAAAAAAATGTCTTGGAGGCTACATCACTTCCAGGTCACTGAACTGTCACTCAAGAGAAACTACTGTCCTATGGGAGAGGACTTCTCAGAAGTCCCGCCCACCCGAAACGGTTGTGTCAGAATTGCAACCAAAAACTCAGGGATTGCAAAGGAGAAAGCCAGACAGTGTAAGTGCAAATCTGGTAGTGAGAGCAAAGCTCTGAGCAGCAAGAACAAAACTAAGGAAATTGATAACAAAAACACATAGAGGCAAACAGAAAAAGGAAACATACTTTGTTACTCATTTTAAGAAGTTGATTCAGATAGTAAGTTTTATTTTTGAAACATGTTTTTTTCCTTTAGTCAATATTTTTGTTCTGTCAATTTCTTAATTTTTGTTTGACCGTCAAAGTGTTTTTCTTGATCATTTTAAGAATCTGATTCAGATCGTAAGTTTTTCTTTTGAAACCAATGTTTTTTCTCTCAATGTCTTAAAATTTGTTTGCTCTCCAAAGTGTTTTTCTTGATCCTATTGGCACAAATCTAATCCCATATTTTATAACAACATTTTTCATTCAAGGTCAAATTAAGATATTAGCTTCTATTTTGGGATGACGTATTGAAGTCGGGTCCGCTCCAGCCAGTGACTCCGAACCTGACCACAACTCATGTTACTGCAGCATTTGTTATTCCAGTCCGCGTGGCAGCGGATCGCAGATTCAGCCACACCATAAAACAGCAATAAGTCTGTCTGAGGCTAAATATCTTTTCCATCTTTTCCCCTATAGACATTTGATTACGCACAAGTAGGTGATCAGCTCAGGTTTACGCAGAGCAGAAGGAAGGAGAGCGCTCTGGCCACAGGTTAAACGTTCCTACTTTAAGAAAACCGTTAAATTGCATTGTTTATGTGCTACCTGGGCACTCTAAATATTTATTTAAAATTAAATCAAAGGAAATTGGAATGGTATCAAATGCTTTTTAATTACTATTTAAAAAATGAAAGTGATGGGGAAAAAGGTCGATCATACTTTTTTAACCCTGTCTGTTTAGCTTGACGCCTGATATATATATATATATATATATATATATATATATATATATATATCCATGCCCTGATGTGGGGGCTGGGGGGTGCTTCGACATGGTCGGGACATAGAAGGGGTGCGCGGCTAAATAAGTTTGGGAACCACTGTGCTACAGCAAAACAAAACAATTTAAAAGCATGAATTTTTTTTAAAGAAAAATGTCTACTTTAAATTTCTACCAAGGGTTGATTTCAGAGGCCGACCAATATGTTGTTTTTAAGGCAGATACAGATTTTTAAAGAATTTTGTTGCAGATGGTTGATATCTAAAACCGATAATTAAGGCTAATATATATATATATATATATATATATATATATATATATATATATATATACACACACACACACACACGTTTTAGCAGCCCATTGATTGTGCAGGACATCTGAACACTCACTGTGTGCAATCTAAATTTAATAAGCCAATAAATCTCCTAATATTTATTGAACTTCAAATATGAAACAAACTCAAAACAATAGCAATGTGCAAACAACAGAATAGATAACAATAGGAAATAAAATTTCTTAAGGTTTTAAAATAAAGAGAGTCATACAGTACCCAGAATATAGTTGCAAAATAGTAGCTGGTCGAGGTTGAATCTTCAAGTGAAAAATAAATAAATCAAAGTAAAGCACACTACCACATTGTAGTAAAAATAAAATCTAAACTATACATAAAAATTAGTGCAAACATTAAGCACCAAACTTAAAGGGATATTCCACTCAGAAGTAAAACTGTGTCTGTTGTTAGTTTTCCCTGAGTTGGATAAGTGAGAAAAGGGATTTTCTAGCTAACAAGCTCAGTCATTCTCCTGATCTGGAAGCAGTACGTTTTACTTTAGCTTAGCATAAAACAATGCCAGTAGAAGGAAGGTTCTAGCACAGACAGACACATTTTTACATAGGGGTGAAATATTCCTTTAGGTGTAAACAATGAAACAGGAGCCTAGTATTCCCCCCCCCCCCATTTTATTTTTAATCGCCTTTAAAAAACCATTTCGGCTGATATAGAAAAAATGTATTATATTGGTCGGCCTCTAGTTGATTATTCTTACACAGTTCAGGAATTGTTTTTAAGTTGAACCCGTTCATTGACAACACAAAAATAAAGGCCCAATTAATAAAATATAAAAAACTAAGTATTTCACTGTTTTCATTAGAAAACCCTTTACAGACATTAACACAATTCAATTAACATAGTGAACTAACGCTGTGGGCATCATCAGCCTCACAGTCAGTGAAGAATAGACATGTCAATTATTACACCTTCTGCTGTCTCACGCACCTGGACGAGTCCTGGGATGAACTCGTCCTCTATCAGCTGGGGTCCCAAGGTGGCTCGGCGTTGAAGTCAAACGGCTCTCGGTAAAGAGCTGCTCCTAAATCCTCTGGGTAGTTGTTGCACACCTGCAAAAAGGTAACACAGAGGAAACTGTCACTGAAGAAAATAAAGAGCGTAACAAACTCACATACTTGCATAACACAGATATAACAAATTAAATCCCATCACTTGTGGACGCCCCACTTGTAGGTTGGATTACGAACTATTTAACAAGTAGACCACAGCATGTCCGACTGATGAGCTGCCGCTCAGATAACATCCTGAGCAGCACGGGGGCGCCGCAGGGGACAGTTCTATCACCCTTCCTCTTCACCCTTTACACGTCTGACTTCAGGTACAAGTCTCAGTCTTGCCATCTGCAGAAATTCTCTGATGACTCTGCCATTGTGTGCTGTATCAGGGATGGTCAGGAGGTGGAGTACAGGAGTGTGGTGGATAGCTTTGTTGAGTGGTGTGAGCTAAACCACCTACAACTTAACATCACAAAGACTAAGGAACTGATTATGGACTTTAGGAAGCAGGCCCCACCTCCTACTCCTGTCACCATAAGAGGGGCTGACGTTGAGATCGTTGAGGACTACCGGTACCTGGGTGTACACTTGGACTGTAAACTGGAATGGACTAAGAACACCAATGCTATCTTCAAAAAAGGGCAGAGTCGGCTTTTTCTTCTGAGGCGGCTCAGGTCCTTCAATGTTGGGAGGAAATTGCTGACAATGTTCTATCACTCGGTGTTGGAGAGCGTTGTGTTCTTTGCAGCTGTGTGCTGGGGCAGTGGGGTGAAGATAGCTGATGCCAACCGGCTGAACAAGCTGATTAGAAGGGCTGAGTCTGTCCTGGGTGTTAGACTGGAGAACCTGGAGGAGGTGTCTGAGAGGAGAATGCTAAAAAAGCTTCTCTCTATCATGGACAACCCCTCCCACCCCATGCACGCCCACATGATGGACCATCGAAGCACACGCAGCAAAAGACTCATTGCCCCGAAATGCAGAACTGACCGCCACAAGAAATCCTTTGTACCGGTGGCAATAGGATTGTTTAACTCTTCCTCACCCTGTAGGTGATTCTCCTAATACTGTTACCTAGGTTACTCTGTGCCCTCACCGACTGTGCAATATTACCAGAGTTCTGATTGTAAATATGTTTTTATCCCCCCATCATATCATATGCTGCTACAAACCCATTTTCTATTACACAATACTTTAATCACTTTTGTGAATCGCCTGCACCGACGGCTTAATTACTTATTCACAAGGATGCAGTCATGTATTTAATTATTGAGATATGCGATTGTTTGTTTTGCACTATCCTACATGGTACTACTGTAGATCATTTTTTTAATGTATATATTGTATATCATATTTCTACTTCACCCGTTCCTTTGTCTCTCCGACTGCTTTGAGCATGTACATGACACAAGAATTTCCCTCGGGATAAATAAAGTTGTTCTTATCTTATCAATATTAAAAACTACTCGAGGGCTAAATTCAGAAGTGTTATATTGTCTTTTGAACGTAAAAAAGCAGCAAACAACAATGAAATAACGTTTGTTGACATGATTAAGCAGCATCTTTATTATTGTTAGTAAATAGATTTTTATTTAGTGAAGTCATGGTAGCTACTTGTGTCGTAATATCCTGTAGCAGGTAAATAAGGCGACAAAAACGCCAGTTCAGCCGGTTAATGAAGCTAATATTACGCTAAGGCTAACAAGGGTGCTAACGATACTTACCTCGACCGAAGGCCGAAAACGGCAAACAGAACACTTTTTCTCTTTAGACGGAATTTTTAAAACTTGGTGGGGTTGCAGAGAGGGAAAACTGTATATCATAAATTGGTTTAGGTTACTACCTTTCTAGGTATTGATAATTAAAGCTAAAAGCAGAGGTCATTAACCACAACAAAGGGAATACGGACGGAAAACTCGGACATGCGCGTTGGTTACGAACAACAAAAGAAATATATATCCGGGTTAGTTTCAAAATAAAAGCATCAGTCACAAACCTGATGGGGTTACGTGAGGTTTTAATGGCTACGAAGAAAGTAAGTATGCAAAATGTAATAATTTTTTTCAAAATATATTATTGAGCATTAAACATTCAAAACAGATTTCTAGTTGTGTTAAAATGGTGTACAGAGCTCTTTCGGAAATCATATCAGATTAGAAACAAGAGTCTCTGACTTAAATTCACTTTAAAAAAATCAGACACTTTAGTATTTTTTTCTGTTGTTCTCTTAATTTCAGGTAAGTGCTTGTAAATATTTAATATTTTATTTGCTATAGGCAGTCCTTTTGAAAATAGATTTAACCATTTTGGAGAAACATTTATTCTGACCAGACAGACGGTACAATCAGGAGAAAAATAGGTTCAGTTGTCTTAGATAATAATAATAATAATAATAATAATAATAATAATGCACGTTTGGCACTTTTCTAAGTGAGAACAATCATTCTCATTAATATTCACATGCTGAATCCAAAAAGACTGGAAAAAAGATATTCACATCACATGATAATTTACAAAGAATTATGTGGTCATGAGTACTAGAAACAGGTTAGGGAATGCTTTTAATAAGTTCAGTCTATTTTTTAAAATTCTGCAATGAAATTGCTATGAAATTTTTGAGATAGGAATTGTTTTAAGACACTTTGTAATAGACTCCAATGTGACTAGTTTATTTGTTCGGTCAGACCTAAGCTATTTTTCTCAAATCTGAGGCCAAATAACAGATTAAGCTTGAATTGATTGTAAAATTTCTGACACAAAAAGATTTAAAAAAATCTGAACTATTGCGTTCAGCATGGAGTAAATTTCATTATTTCCACATCAAAGTTTTGAGCAGGCATAAGACCATTCTTTGGTATGTTCATACTGTGTTGATTTTCTAAAATGCAGTTAGAAAAGCAACACAGTAAGAACATGCCAAAGATGTTTAAAGACAAATACGAACAAGGATCAAAGGACTTTTGCCATTTGGAACGATTACATCAGAAATGCGCATGTCTAAGGATCCACCTTTGCTTCAAATTAAGGCAACAATGCAGTCAGAAGAGCATTCACTTACAATCTAGAAGTTATATTTTCCGCAGGTTGCAGAATTGTTACAGAAACATTTTAAAGACAAATCCCTATTTCAATTGATTATATTACTTAGATGTTATAACATCAGCATCTGGTTCAGTGTTTTCTCAGTACTTACCTGTGCTATGTCTTCTTTGCATCTGCCATGGTTTTGTGGTGACAACAAAATGCTGTCCAATAAAGTCAACAGAAGTCTCCTTTTTTGCTTCCAGCTATAATCAGAAGTGTTTTATTAAGAAACTTCCCTCTCATTAAGTTTGAGCTCAAACAGGACTTTCCTGTCCCTCAGCCTCTGTTGTTGTGACTTTGAGAAATCACATACCTCTTTCTTTAATTTTTTTACACAAGCAGAAAAAAATGCACATCTCCCTCCTCAGCCCTGAAGGAGGTGGGTGCCAAGGGAAGCTCAGCTGCTGTTTGCCAAACAGAACAGAAGAGTTTTCTCCTGAGCATGTTTTAGTGCTCGTTCATCCTGGCAAAAAGCATTGTTTACTAAGCTGGAAAACACTTGAAATCCGTACACATCTTGTTCCTCGGTGTTATTTTAGTTCACAACAAAGAACTCTGAATGTGCTCATGCAAGAAAACCTGTGTGACTTTACCAGTGATGCAGTGGTTTCTTTGTTGTTTGTGTACATTTCTATCTCTAGACAGCTTAATTTTTCTCACCTTTTGTTTTTAACATTTTTTTAAATCAGAAAACATTTTCCAAATCAACACATGTCAGCAGGCGTCAGAGTCCAATAAACTACTAAAAGTACGCTATAGTGTTTTATGTAGACTCCACATTCCTTAAGTCTTGATTATATTCAGATTTTTTTTAACATGACTGAAAATGTTTGACATCTTTGAATGCTCCTCTGGGTAAATAAACAATGGCTGTGTTTGTTTCACTAATAAAACCATTGCTGAGAGTCCATTGTAAGGCTGGAGAGGCAGTCTTTTCCTCGGAGGGGAACACAAAAGCTGTTCCGTGTTTTGTGCTTGAAGTCTCCAACACAAACTGAGACTATGTATAAATAAGGCTAATCATTCATAGCATCTAGAGTGACTTCCAGTAAAGTGTGGCGCTCAAATTCTATTGTTTGGGTCATAATAGACATCCCAACCATTGGGTATGCGACAGAGCGACATGTGTACCACCCACTGAGAGGGAAAATACCCTGGTGGCTGCATTGTGCTGCAGGAATTCTTAATGCATTGCAAACAGATTACATCAATGCACAGAATTAGACAAACCCTGGATCCGCCTTGGCTTACCAAGGATCTCCAGCCAGGCAGGAGAAATGAAACTTTAACAATTAATGTCTTTAATAAGATGCTGTTGGTGGGTGAATACATAACTATTCACTAAAGCTTTGTGTGTTCTGTGTCCATCAATATCCCACTTAAAAAGTTATTAATCTATTAGATTAACATAACTACGCACGCTAAACCTGTAATTAGCTGTTCTTATCTAACCTGTCAAGTCACTCAGATGTGGTTTCTCATCTCCATGCCAGAGAATGTTGCTAAGTAGAAAGGAAGTTCAAACAGACTTTTCCTCACTCTGACCTGAATGTTACTAAGGCAACACAAAGGTCTTGGGGAGCTGAAGGCATTAAAAGGCACGATCTTTGGATTGTGCCTATACAAGCTTTTAATTTACCCAAAAAATGAACTAAAAGGTTCCTTTTGTACTCTAAAATGTGACAACTAAGACTCAAGCCTTATCGTGGAGCTCTCTTTGACTTGTCATGTAAAACAATCATATCAAAGAGGTGGAGAGAAACACATTGATGGTCAAACAATAACAGAGCCTAAAAATGATGCACATTTCACCCTTGTTTCCTTTAGAGACAAAGAGCCTAAAACTATGATTATATAACACAACCTTGTCTGTGTGGAAACCGGAAACAAAAAAAAACCAAGAAGTTTATCTGAATTGAACTAGATTATTACCAGCAGTGTGTGAAATTGAGTGTGTGAATAATGGAAAGTGCTTTGAGTGCCTTGAAAAGCGCTATATAAATCTAGACTACTATTAAAATAATCATTATTATTATTTTTAGTTTTTATGAAGTGTAAATACTTGTATAGAGTGAAGTTGTGAAAATCCATGCAGGCCTGTTGTGTTGTTGCTCTCCTCCTGATTCTGACCAGACTCTGCTCCGGATCCTCAGCAGCAGCCTGCCGTCTGCTCGCTGCTTGACTGGGCCATGTTTGATTTGATATCCCAGCAGACTGGCCCCTTGCCATCCACGAGCAAACTCAACCCTACCGTTTGATGAAGAGGGTTGGGTCTGGACAGACCAAGCATTGTGTCTCAAACAATAAACCTCAGACCAACTGAACCATAAACATGTCCCTTTGGGTACATGTTCCTAAGTTTCTGTGCAGGAGACACCCAGAGTCAGGAAACCTGACTTGACTTTTCTAAATTTAGTGTTTCAGGAGCCTCAGAGGCTACCGGCATGGCATTCATCAGTGTCTACCTCTCTAACAAGCATTTGGAATGCTGACTGAGGACCAAATCAGGGGTGGAGGTTTTTTAATTTAAGATAAAAAAAAGAAAAAATTTGCTTCACCCGAATGTGATGTAATGTAAATATAATTTCCTCCCTTCTGCAATTCAGATTTGATACTGACATAGACAGATTACCAGTAAGACCTATGATTTGAGAAGCTACAGGCATCAGAAAGAATTTATTTTTTCCCTTTTTTACCTGATTCATAAAGTACCTAGGAAGACAAATAACAGCTATAAACTGGTACAGTGTGACCAAAACCAGTAATGGATAAGAGGCAAATTCAGGGCACATGGCTGTAACCAGAAACCAAAAAATCTAAATCAGACAGAAGTGTGACAAAGGCAGGTTACTTCAAAACTGTGATGCATTATTTATTACTTGTTACCCTCATTTTAAAGTAATTCATTACATTACAATATTACTGATTTAAAAATGTAACACATTACACTACTTTTGCGTTACTTTAAAGGCACAGTCCGCAGGATGACGACGTCAGGGTGAGGAGGAGATTTTTTAAATTCGAACGGCTGTTGCTCACTCCCCCGCCCTTCCTGAAAGAGCCGAAAGCCACACCTCCCAATGTGCACGCGCAGGAAAAGCAGAGTCAACATCGGAGCATTGCTTCTTGTAAAAGAGCTGAGCTAGTGTTAGCAATGGAGTTATCTGAGGTAAGAAAGTTGTATTTAACCAGCACATTAAACACTTACTGTTTACAAAAGGCATTTTATAAAGAATATCTATAAATATATTTATATTTTAAAATACCAGTAACAGTTGGCAATCTATATTGTAAATAAAATTAATCCTATCAAATTGTTAGCATTTTATTACAAGTAACTAGCTTATTTTTAATTGCTTTGCCATTCAAGATGGGATGAATATATCAAAGCATATAAATAATTTATGTGGAAATCATGAATAAACACTGCATTCTGTGTAGTCCTCCTATAATCATGGTTGTTTTCATAGGGTTTCTGGTTATTGTTGGTTTAGCCCAAATTTTGACTAGATGTAAACCTGATCTGTGTCAAAATTGATTAATATGCAAGAGTGCTTTTTATATTAGTATAATTTTTTTTATTCTAATACAATTTAGAGTTCAGTGATTGAGGAATCCTCAGAGGAAGAGTTTGAACCTCCTATTGCATCCTCAAGACGTGGTGCAAAAAGGAGATGCCCACCATCATCTCAAAGCCGTGGTGTGTCTAGAGGCCGCGGTGCATCCAGAGGCCGAAGAAGTGTGAGACACTCAGCTGTGGACCTTGGAGATGAAGATCTCTCTCGACTTCGGAATCTTTGTTCCGAGCGAATAGACTTTGAACGTGTAAGCATAACTGTTGCTGTAGCATCTCTTTCCACTTTTGTAGCAACACATACAGAACCTGAACCCTCAGCAGGCTATTGACATCCTTACCATGGTGCTGGACAGACACTGGTGTTCTCTTTGATGTACTTGCCCTCTCTGGTCCACCTGCCACAACACCTCCAACACCCAATCAACCTTCATGGTGTGTATGCTCCCACTGCAGAGATATACCAACTGATTTGGAAAAGAAATGCTGCCAACAGCCTCCCCAGACATGTATTTCAACTGTACCACACATGGAGGAGTTTATTCTGCAAAATTCCCTGACCCCAATGGTAACTACACTGGTTTTATTCCAAGACGATTGTAAATAAATGTATATATTTGATATCTTACATAAGTTTGTTTTTATATATTTTTGTTTGATGCTCTAATAAAGTGTTCTAAAGCACAACTCTGTGTTGCATTTCTAAAAATACCACAAATTTTAAAACTCCTGCACAACAACAAAAAATTATGTCTACCTCCAACATTTTACATAAATTTTTAAATTATTAGTCCTTATTTCCCCAAAATATATCTTTATTTTCAAAAAAAAAAAAAAAAAAACAGGAAACAAAAATAAAGAAGGTTTTGGGTTTTCTCTTGCCTCCCCCAACACCTATGTCTGTGGCAAAGTTTTACCTGTAAATAAAAAATAAACTCAATTAGCAATGGACTATTGTGTGGAAGATGTAAGGCAGATAATGTTTTATCTTACCATCACCGCAAGTCCGTAGGTGTTGTAGAAGTTCCTCTGTTGATGGTGCAGGAACTCCGGACAGCAAACCGTAACGCCTTGGATCCTCAGGCCTTAGCTTGTAGCGTCGAGGAAGACCTTTCTTGCTTGTCAAACGTCGGTCAGTTGCTTCTGGGATATTACAGTCATGAACTGTATCCTCCATGTTAATTTCTTGCAGAGTCTCAAGTTGTAATGTTTTTTGTAATGCTGCTCCAGTCCTGTGAACAAAAGCTTTTTATTAACTATGTGCTATTACAGTTTTATAGAATGTTAAACCAGTGGTTCCCAAACTTATTTAGCCGCGCACCCCCTTCTATGTCCCGACCATGTCGACGCACCCCCCAGCCCCCACATCAGGGCATGGCTATATATATATATAAGTGTTTAATGTGCTGGTTAAATACAACTTTCTTACCTTTGATTGTGCGTAATCAAATGTCTATAGGGGGAAATATGGAAAAGCCATGAGGTTCACTTTTGCCTCAGACCGACTTATTGCCGTTTTATGGTGTGACTGAATCTGCGATCTGCTGCCACGCGGACAGGAATAACAAATGCTGCAGTAACAGGAGCTGTAGTCAGGTTCATGAGGAGTCGCTGGCTGGAGCGGACCCGACTTTAATACGTCATCCCAAAATAGAAGCTAATATCTTAATTTGACCTGGAATGAAAAATGTTATAAAACCTCTTAAAAGTTTTTATCACAGAGGAGGCAGCGCTGATTTCTGGGGCGCCGGAGTTTGCGCAGCGTGCGCTCTTACCCCCAAATTCCACTACCTCCGCTCCGCTCCGGTCCGCCCCCGCCCT